GATCCACCATCTATATATCCACACAATTGCCTTCCACTAACTAAAAGATCTCTCCAGAGATATATGTCTGTTACTTCTACTCAAAGGGCATGTCTTGCAAACTTAAACAAAAGCCGTGCTGATCTAGCTACTTGGCTAGCCGTCTAGGCCTGCAGGCCTGCAGCACAAAGCATATAAGCACACAGGCATTACGTGCGATTAGGAACTTGACGATGGTGATGATTAGGATAACAAAACAGAAAACAAGAAACAACTGGATAGCATCATCTTTTCTACAGTGATTTATGGATTTCATTCAATGGACGTAAAATAAAAGTTGAAAGATAAATTGTTTAGATAGGTTATAAAAATCATTTGAAATTGATTGAATTCTAATCAACGGATTTAGATCTCATTCAGATCCTCTCTATCTATTTATCGTAAATCGTGCGAACATGAATCATTTTGAAATTTTTCATTTAAAATTAAACACAAACAATACCTAACGAAAATTGACTGCACGATATGTACGATGAACGGATAAGATGTGAGAATTTCTAAAATCCTTACAAAGAGGATCTGGAGAGAATCCTCATCCCTAATCAACTATCTTGCTTCATTGAGATACGATGTATATGAGTTATTGTAGTTAAGGGGTTGATGAACCGTACAACTCGGTCGACCTATTCAAATTGATCGAGTCGTACCAAACCAAATTGTAATAAATTTAATTTGGTCCGGTTTGATCTATCTGGAAACCACTTTAACAAAACAAAACCAAAATCCGTATGTTCATTTTATTATTTTCTGGCATATATGTAGGCACATTGTTTTATTAGCTGTCTCATTACATACAATTATGTTTCATTTCACAATCAAATCAACATTCAATATAATTAGATTGTACTTTGTTACTTTGCTGCAATGTTTAATTTGTTGGGATGTGAAAATTTTAATTAGAAATTAGAATGCATGGTGGATGCAATAGTAAGAAGTAAGAAAAAAAAATTATGTGTTTTGTTTTTATTAAGGGTACAAGTGTAATACAGTTACTAAGTTTGTTAGTATTTGGTTAAAGTAGTTAGGATTTTTTTTATAAAAAAAAGGTGTGTAATATTCATTTAGTGAGTTAATACAAATCATATTTCTCTATCTCTCTCTAAAACTCTATGTGTTCATCCTTCTGTAATCATCTTTTCTTCTTGATTTTTTCAATTCCCAGACATTGCAATGTAGTTAACATCGTATCAGAGCCACCAGGCTCACGCCATGGATTCTGGTGGTTCCGTTTTTCATTAAATTTCGTCATTTTCATCGTTTTTCATTAGATTTTCTTCAGTGCATCCTCGATGGTCCTGTAATTTCTTGGTTGATTTTTCATCTAGGCTTCCGCAATCTGGGTTGTCAAAATTGTTTCTTCCGTTCTTGAAAGTATTACCACATCTTTTCCACATACGGCATCTAGCAAACATATTACCACCCCTCTAACCCGATACAAGAATACTCATCTCTACCTCGACGGAGATCGCGAGCCTGCAGCGTCTCGAAGCCTTAACCTTAATAATCTAATTGCTTGTTGTGATTCGGATCGTTGTCTCCCTTAGTGGAACTCTGAATTGGTGTGTTGGTAGCTGGTGTGGAGGAAAGTTTAAAAATTGTGCAGCTTGGTGTGGAATTTGACTCTCTTCCCTCTGGGGCTCTATGCAGATTTTGGTATGGTTCTCTGCTTCTTCCTTCCATAATGTTTCACTAAACTTGCATTGGATTTGGGTATGGTTCTTGAAGTTCTTGGAGTCTAGTTGCTGTTCTTGGATTGGTGATCTTGCTATAATCTTTTCTGGTGGCGTTGTTGGAATCAGGTCGTTACATTTCCTTGTTTCTTCAATTTTGCACATAAGGTGTTTGTGTTGGGTCAATGAAATTTTATGCAGTGTTGGTGAGAATTATGAGCAGCCTCTCCATAAATGGGGGTAAGGCTAGCCGACATTCACCTCTCCCAGACCCTGCGTAAAGCGGGAGCCTTGTGTACGACAATGTTGATGAGAATTATATATGATCTGTTTCGGGGTTTTGAGTATATGATTAAGGCTGATTGCAAGAAATGTTGGTAGTTGAAGAAATTTCTGAAGTTGCTTGTTCAAAGAGTTGTCAATTGTTGAAGTTTATGAGTTTTATGAATTCATAATTGATATGGCCGATGCCAAGAATGTTTGAGTATATAGTATTCATTGAAGTTGATAATTGAAGAATGTCGAAGTTAGAAAGTTAGCGAATTTGTTACGTTTTAGGTATAGTTGCATATTGATATGTTTGGAGAAATGGGTATGGATTCTTGGAACAGATACAGGTCTTGAAGCAGTAGGAAAAGGTTGCCTGAATTTGAAATAGTTTTTCCTTCGCAAATGTCTATTCGTATCTAACAGTGGGTTGGTGTCATTTTGCAAAGCAGCAAGGTCTCGTAAGAGTCTTCATTTGTAAGAGTGCCACAGGATCACAGCCTATAATGTTGAGTCTAACCAACTCAGTTGTTCGTATGTACCTACAGTAAGCCTGGTTATACGATGAAGTTTGAAGAAGTTGATAACAGTAAATCCCACGAAGGGTAATTCCGTGATGTGAGTAGGTAAATCCCACGAAAGGTAATCCTACATAGATGTTGATTTTCTGTTGTTGAAATTGTGAAGGCCGATGCCATTGTTAAGAGTAGTTGTTTTTGGTAAAATTCACTAGGGGTGATCCTGTGGTACTATAGTTAAGGTCGATGTCACACTATAGTTTGTTAATTTTCTGTTTTAATGGACGATGTCAATGTTAAATGAAGTTGTTGACGGTAAATCCCACGAAAGGTAATCCCACAAGAAATTGTTATAACTAGCACGAGGGTGTGTTACAACTTTATAAGAGGTTGTTCTTTGATTGAAGCTCCTACGAGAGGTGTAGACATTAGTTCAACTTTTTAGTATAACGTTTTTGTGTTCGACTATAAGATTTGAAAAGTTTGTAAAGGCAAATTCTTAAAAAGAAAAAAAAAGAAAAAAAAAAGCACTAACAAGAAATAAAGCAAACCACGTATCGTAATTGGCTAAGTAGTATATTAAATATATTGTAATTTGCGAGCGATTTTTTATGTACACATAATACAGTATAAGACAATGATTTATCTTTTATTAGACGTATCTACTATGTCATTAACAAAGATGAAATAGTATACCTCGTATTTTATATTAATGAAAATATAAATTGCTGTATTAATGAAACACATGCCCAACTTTTCTCCAAAAAGAAAGATAAAAAGTAAACATGGTGTTTATACCATATTTAGGGCCTCGTATTTAGATCTCGTACAAATACTCAGGGGACTTAAATGTAATTATGGGATAAAGGAAGGGGCAGATATGTAATAAGTGAGGAGTCCTTATTCTATAAAAGGACCCCTCACCCTCACAATTGGAGGGAGGCCTCACTCTCACTCTCAGAGGCCATTTCTGAAGCCTCTCACCCCCTCTCAAAGCTTCCTCACACCCCCTAAGCTCTAAGCTCTCTCTCTCCCTCTTCAACAGAGAAATACAATACAATCAGTGTGGACGTAGCCCAAATCTTGGGGTGAACCACGATAACTCTTGTGTCATTTACATTTCATGCAGATTCACGGTCGGATTTACGTTGTACCAAGACCATCCGGTTTTGTGCATCAACATTTGGCGCCGTCTGTGGGAAACGACACGAAAAGCCATGTCGGTTCTTTTCCTCAAATTTTCATCTCACCACCGTGGATCTGCACAACCAAGTGTTCACAGAAACAAAAACCACCCATTTATTATTATTTTCTGCTGCTCCTGCACCTGCACCTGCAAATTAATGGGTTCATTTATTATTATTTTCAAATTATTTTCTGCTGCACCCATTTATTATTATTTTCTACTGCACCTGCACCTGCACCAACTGGGACTCCAGCTACCCCATTCCACCACCGACTGCAGACATACCTTCCCAAGGTTTCCGAGGAAGGAATTGTGCGGTGCTACAAATACTTCTCTCCAGGGGCTTCCACGAGCATGAAACTGCTCCGCCATCAACAGCCAGCAATGGCGGGAGGAGATGTTTTCTCCGACGCCAAACCGACGCCAACGAGGAGCACGTGGTGCTCGTCAAGCAGTACAGATCCAAGGTGGAGACCGAGCTCTCGGCCATCTGCGCCGGAATCCTGGAGCTCCTGCAATCGCACCTTGTTCCTCCAGTGCGATGAGAGCAAGGCGAAGACTGATACTTCGGCAATGGAGGCTTGAAATGGAAATGACAGTCAAGTCAAATAGCATAGAACGGATTGCTCTTTGAGCCCTGTAGAAAAAAAATGGCTCTATTCCAAACACAAACACCTCCTTCTATCCCCAGCCATGGCTTTAGCTTCAAAACCCACAACTACTCTCCCGCGGCCTTAACATTTCATCTCCCACCGCCTTCCCTCCCTCTTTTTGTCACCTCCAAGAAAACCCACCACCAAAAACTCACTCTTTTCTCCCTCAACAGTGAAAAGAAGGTTGCTTTGCAGCCCCCCTCATGGTAAACATGTCAGAGAAGATTATCTTGTGAAGAAGGCGTCGGCCAGGAGGTCCAGGAACTGGTAAAAGGAGACAGAAATGTACCCATTATTGTTGATTTCTTTGCAACATGGTGCGGACCCTGTATATTGATGGCTCAAGAACTTGAAATGGCTCCTGGAGCCAGTGGAGATGTCAACTTGCAGAAGAGGAGCACATGGGGTCAATAAACAAAAACAAAGTAGTGGCCACGACTTGGTGGACTTTTCTGGTGGCATACACCCACACTGTTGTCGGCCACGGAAGAAAAGAGAAGAAAAAGAAAAGAAAGAAAAGAAAAAGAAAGAAAAAGAAAAGAAAAAGAAAGAAAAGAAAAAGAAAAGAAAAAAAAGAAACAAAAAAAAAAAAAAAAAAAAAAAAAAAAAAAAAAAAAAAAAAAAAAAAAAAAAAAAAAAAAAAAAAAAGAAAAAAAAAAAAAAAAAAAAAAAAAAAAAAAAAAAAAAAAAGGCAACAGCATCAAAACCCAAATCATCTTCGAGAAGCTCGGGATCCCGACCCCGCTCCCTCCAGAAATCCAAGTCAGACGGAATCCGCTCCTTCGTCTTGAAAATCAACCGGTCCGACAAGCGCCGTGTGTTCCGCCAGTACTTCCAGCACATCCTCACCGTCGCCGACGAAATCGAGCAGCGGAACAGAGAGATCAAGCTCTACATAAACCTCTCCAGCGAAAATGAAAGGTGGCGATTGGTTCCGTTCACGCACCCCGCCACCTTCGACACCGTGGTGATGAACGCTGAGCTGAAGAATAAAATTCGGTCCGATCTCGAAAATTTCCGCGTATGGAAGTGGAGTTTTTTGCTCTACGACCCCTCTGGCACCGGAAAAACCAGCTTCGTCGCCGCCATGGCGAGGTTCCTGAGCTACGACGGGTACGACGTCGACATGTCCAAAGTCGCCGACGACTCCGATCTGAAAATGCTTCTCCTCCAAACGACGCCGAAGTCGCTGATCGTGATGGAGGATCTGGACCGTTTCTGGACGGAGAAATTCATGGCTGTGAGTTTGTCCGATCTGAAAATGCTTTTCCTCCAAACGATTATCCCAGTACGAGCTTGCTTTACACCTTGCACCTGACATGCCATCGTCTATCGAATTACGTTCTATTTGTCATTTAAACAGCGCAGTATGCTTCTTGAAATTGGAAAAAATGAGGAGAGAAACTCACCATCTGGAATTAAGTTTGCAACGCTACACGAGCGAGGATCTAAGTTGCATTTGATTTGAAGATCTGGTGGAGCTTGAACACCAACTGGAGGCGTCTGTTAACAAGGTTTGAACTAGGAAGGAGGTTTCTGAGTTCGTCGTTAATGGCGAAAGTGGGGAGGGACTGCAGGATTTGTCACCTGAGCTTGGATGCAACAAATCATGAATCTGGGATTCCTATTGAGCTGGGGTGTTCTTGTAAGGCTGATTTGGCTGCTGCCCACAAGCAGTGTGCTGAGGCTTGGTTCAAGATCAAAGGTAACAATGCGTCTGCTTTCTAATTCACGACTTTGGTCAACACTCTCGGCAGAGACACTTGCCGGTCCAAGCTCTGGTCAACACTCCGGTCTTTGAGCATAGCAGTCATGGTGGCAGACGGCTCCTGATCACCGACAGACCAACGTGGCAAAGTCCTTATTCCGTCTAATTTCAGAAACAATCTTCCTGCAATACGCAGTGGAGGTACCAAGAAAAGAAGGTGGGTGGGGTCGAAGAGGTTGTCCAAATAGCTGTGCCCTTAATCATGTCGTCAAGCGACATATCAAAAGCAGAAAAGAAGAAGGCAAAGAGAAAAGCAGTGGAAACAGAAACAAAAGCAAAAGTAAAGCAGAAAAGAAAAAGAGAAAAGAAGAAGAGAGTGCAGCAGAAAAACACTGCAAAAACAAGTAATAAACACCCCACCCGAATGATGTAATTTATTTTTATTATCTTTTGGAGACATCTGTATAAACCCCATCAGAGGGTAATATGTATAAACCCCATCAGAGGGTCAGAAAGTAAAAAAAAAAAAAAAAAAAAAAAAAAAAAAAAAAAAAAGAAAGAAAGTGGAAAGCAAAAGCAAAGCAAAGTAAAAGAGCAAAGCAGAAAGCATGGCTACCCTTTCAACATGAGATTTGCGGTGGAAAAGAGCAAAGCAGAAAATATGGCTACCCACTGAGATAATTACAAAAGAAAAGTAGAAAAGAAAGAGAAAAACAAAAGTAAGGAATAAACATTCTACCAGAATGATGTAATTTATTATCTTTCGGAGACATATGTATAAACCCCATCCGAGGGTAATATGTATAAACCCCATCAGAGGGTAAAACAAAAAAAAAAAAAACAAAAAAAAAAAAAAAAAAAAAAAAAAAAAAGAAGAACAACGACAAGCCCAAAATAAATGGGTTGGACTGGAATGTTGTGGAGGGCGAAGGCCCATAAGCCCAAAATAACACCAACCAGGTGATCAAAAGTACGCCTAGTACTCCAAATCATACATGAGCACTACTCATGTCATTCATACATAAACATTCATGAGCATCACTCATGACAATCATACATAAACATTCATGACCATCATTCATGTCAACATTCATGAGCATCACTCATGTTAACATTCATGAGCATCACTCATGACAACATCCATGAGCATCACTCATGTCAATCAACATAAACATTCATGAGCATCACTCATGTCAATCAGCTTCAAAAAGCTTCATTTACAGAGCTTTAGCTTCAAAAGCTTCATTTACAGAGCTTTAGCCTCAAAAGCTTAATTTACAGAGCTCTAGCTTCAAAAGCTTCATTTATAAAAGCTCCAGCTTCGAAAGCTTCATTTACAGAGCTCTAGCTTCAAAAGCTTCATTTATAAAAGCTCCAGCTTCGAAAGCTTCATTTACAGAGCTCTAGCTTCAAAGCTTCACTTGCAAAGCTTCACCTACAAAGCTTCAGTGCAGGGTATACAAATACCGCCTCCGAACAACCGCCACTTCGGCCCATACATGGATTCAATTTGAAGTCTCCAGCCAACAGACTCTATTGACCGAAGACTTGGGGGACTACATTATGTACCATATATTGGGCCTCAACTGGGCCTCATGAAAAATACTTGGGGAACTCTAGCCCATTATTTATGTATTAAGGAGCGAACCCTTATTCTATAAAAGGGACTCCCTCACTTTCATTGAAAGATTACCCATGATTTATGTATTGAGGAGCGAGCCCTTATTCTATAAAAGGGACTCCCTCACCACCATTAGAGAGCATCGCCGTCTACTGAGCAACTGTCTCACTGCGAGCATCAACTCTAACCCATCACTTATGTATTGAGGAGAGAGCCCTTATTCTATAAAAGGGACTCCCTCACCTTCAAACGCCACAAGCCGAGCCAACCAAGGCAACACAAGCTACAAGCAGAGCGGCCTCGCAACATGTGCTACTTCTAGTTGAGCATCATTTCAGATTGGGCACCGCCTCATATCAAGCATTAGTTCTAGACGACATCTAGTTACTTCGGCCCACACATGGACTGAATTTCAAGTCTCCAGCCAAAAGACTCTCTTGACTGAAGACTTGGGGGACTACTGTTTATACCATATTTAGGGCCTCGTATTTAGATCTCGTACAAATACTCAGGGGACTTAAATGTAATTATGGGATAAAGGAAGGGGCAGATATGTAATAAGTGAGGAGTCCTTATTCTATAAAAGGACCCCTCACCCTCACAATTGGAGGGAGGCCTCACTCTCACTCTCAGAGGCCATTTCTGAAGCCTCTCACCCCCTCTCAAAGCTTCCTCACACCCCCTAAGCTCTAAGCTCTCTCTCTCCCTCTTCAACAGAGAAATACAATACAATCAGTGTGGACGTAGCCCAAACCTTGGGGTGAACCACGATACATCTTGTGTCATTTACATTTCATGCAGATTCACGGTCGGATTTACGTTGTACCAAGACCATCCGGTTTTGTGCATCAACACATGGCATCAAAGAAAAGAACTGGCCTATCATTTTTTTGTTGCACAAATTTACGTGTTAATAATATAAATCTGAAACAAGATAAGTAAGGCGTGATTATGTGTTTCTCCAAGAACTAGTGATTGCAACTCACAACAGACGAGGAGTTAAAAAAGTTATATATCTTATGTTCCTTAAAGTGACAGCACAAAAATGGGTTCATGCTAGTTCAGATTCGTCCTGGATCACGTTTGGACTGACTTCATTAGTGGTGATTTTGATTCATATGTATACTGCATTACGTATATTATCCAACCATTTAAATATGGGATATACATTATCCAACCACTTGACCTCTTTCGTGTTTGTTGGATTGTTGTCAAACACCAGATATAAAATTCTAACCACTTACTAAACTAAAGAGTTGAGTCCCTAATTTTCAATACTCACAATCATTACATATATGGGGGTTAAAATTCAGGATAAAGCGTTTTTGACATACATTTTGACTCTCATTTTATAGGACTCACTTCATAATATGTTTTAACTATTCTAACCGTCTATATTTTAGTAAATTATTCACAACTCATTCTTGAAAAAAATTAGACAAATTCAAAATCATTAATATTCATTTGTAGTGAAGAAAATAAACAAGAGAATGCCTTTATCTAAAGCGATCCCCTTGTTTATAAAAATGAGGACTAGTTGTGAGGTCATTTCATATCGAACTTCAACGATCTAAACCGTCTATTTTACACATTTGATTGTCATGATGAAATTTCAATGTTTTTTAGAACGTAGTGTTCATCAATTTCTTTAAACTCAATTAGATGCCTTAAATATTTTTGAATTGGCTAATATTTTGCAAGGATGATCTATGAAGTGTAACTTGGAAAATAGACAATTCGGATCGTTGAAGTTTGATGTGGAATGAGCCCCACAACTAGTCCATATTAAAAAAATAATAATCCTTGTGGATAGATCTGGAGACACACACTTTTGACACACATATATATATTTATGTAGGTTAAGATCCAGAGACACGTTTTTTACACAGTTTTAGTGAGGCCTACTCTATAATGTATTTCAACGATTCAAAAGTCCATTTTTTATGTCCACCAAAATACCTAAATCCGAAATCATATATGACCGTTTGATTAAATTTAGTGTTTCTTGGTACAACTATATTTGTTCATTTTATTCACTACAAGTGAATGTTTTATTGGTTTTAGATTAATTTCTCTAATTTTTTTTCAAAGATGATCCATGAATCATGTAATTAAATATAGATGGTGTGGCCATTGTAGTACATAAAGCATGACCCCTACAAAGGTGTCAAAATTTTGTCAAAAGCACGTTTCTCTAGATCCTAACCTTATATATTCATATCATTGGATTGGATCATCTTTATAAAAAAAAAATTAGACAAATCTAAAATTAAACATTCACTTGTAGTGAAAAAATTGGAGAAACATGGTTCTACTAAGAATCACTAATTTTAATCCAATGATCATATGGTTTTGGATTGAGGTGATATTTTGTACACATGATCTTTGAGATAAGAAATAAAAAAAATATACGGTTGGATCATTTAAATATATTATGGAGTGAGGCCCCACTAAAATGTAAGTTAAAAGCGTGTGTCTATATAGACTTTAAGGGAAGGGATTCTTATTTTTTTCATAAAAATGGAGATTAGTTGTGGGGTTCACACGACATTGAATTTTAACGATCCGAACAGTCTATTTTTCAAATTGCACATAATAGATCATCCTTGCAAAATATTAGAGGAAATATTTAAGACATCTAATTGGGTTAAAAAAATTAACAAATACTTTGTTATATAAGAAACAATGAAATTTTATCTTAATAATTAAATAGGCAAATGATTTTGGATTAAATTGAATTTTTGTAAGGATGATCTATGAATCAAGACTTACAAACTAGACGGTTCGGATCGTTGAAGTTCGATGTGGAGTGGGCCCCACATCTAGTCCCCATTTTTTGGAAAAAATGGGAATCCTTTGCATAAAAGGCTTGTTTGTGTGTGTGTGTGTGTGTGTTAAAGTTTCTTCCATATTAAGATATTAAGCAAAAGGTTGAGATAAGTTTCACAATTAATCATAAATAACTTGATGTCGAACTTAGGAACAAAAGAATAATTACCCTAAATTCGTTTAAATTCTAAACAGGAATAAACCCCACATGATATTTTATTACTAAACAACTTATATACCCTAATATGCAATTACTATTTAGGCCATATATGAATTAAAAAACAAAAATTATTTTCTGAATACACCCCAACTATTTGTCGATATGTATTCTAAGATTGTTTTCTTTCAAGCTCTTGAAGATACTCTCAATTCCATTATAAAACAAAACCCTAACTAAAAGCACAACATAGTTAATGAAAAAAAGAGGTTAATTTTGAAAAATGAAACATGAAATCAATGTTTTGGAGGCTTCAACGTCGTCCGTTGCTCTGTCACTTGGGTATTGACTACAACATATGTATCATTTGTAACTTCGACATTGATTCCAACATCTATATCACTTGTAAATTTGAAACTAAGATGTCATCTCCAACTTTTGTATTATTAGAATTTTAAAAAAAAAATGCATGTGCTTATATATTTCTTCATAAATACATCTCTTGACATACAGTTTCCATTGCAAGAAAATCATTTAAAATCTCTAATTGATATGCAAAAGGACTTTTGGGTGGAGCTTTAGATACCAGGCATGAATTGTAATATTAAAATTTATTTTTTGATCCTGCAGTTGCCCAGAAATATTCAAACATAAAATAAGCAAGAAAGACAATATGGGCATATACTTCTTCTCATAACGTGATCCACATATCTGAGAAATCTATGACTCTCTTCTCCCCCAAAACTCTAGCAAGCTCTTTGCAGAAAAACAAAACACCAAAAACTATTTGAATAATGTAATTAACAAAGAGTTTGATTGTAGGGTTTAAGTAGGGTGTGAGGTGTATGTAGAGGGGTTTGGGGTGTAAGGGTAGTATTGGAAAATAAGTGGGGTGTATTAATATAAATTTTTACTTAAAAAGTAGATGTAGAATGTATTAAGTATATGAGGTGTAATCAACAAAATGTGGGGTGTTAATAAAACAAGCCTAAAAGAATTCAAACTTAGATACGAATAGTATAGTACATTGACTCAAGCATTACTTACTTCTTTCTTTTTCAATCCACACCGGGCCTGCTCCTCGGGCTTCGCCTGTCACTCGGGCTTCCCAACGCTGGAGCCTATCCCCCCAGCAATATGCTCCTGTTTGAATGCCTAGCCCCCAAGCAACCTCCCCCGTTGGAGTTGCTCTAATAATGGTATCTAGAGCAGAAAATTGATCTCGAAAATTTATATATGACTGTTCTGTTTTAGTGGGAGAAGGGAAGGAGATTTAAATTTGGTACAATTTTTTTTTTTTTATAAAACGATATATTTATATTAAAGGTGTAAGAGAATAAATTGGTTGCGAACTTACCATTCTTGATTTTTGAATCTAAAATCTCTTATTATAAATGAAGAAGAATATCATTAAACAGTAGTACTAAGTAGGATACATCTTTAAATTTGAGAAGAAGATGAGTACTAGTAGATCAAGAGCTAATTGGTTAATGACTATTATAGTATTAGTTTAATCAATCTTGAGTTAATGGCTCTGATAGCACCTTAAATTTGAAGATGAAATGAAACAAGAACTGAATATTTCATAAAGAGAATCAAGAAGATGATTATAAAATTGAGAGAGAGGAGAGCTTAATACAAAGCTTACTGTAATTAACTAACAAACTCAAATCCTCTTACTTTCCCAACAACAATACTAACAAATACACTCATATTAAGACACTTGTCATGATCTTAGAGTCCTAGTCTTCATTAATCTCAGCCACATATCATATACTGCACACACAGTTTTTAGTTTTACTATATAAATTCTGATTTCTGAAGCCATTAATCTATTGTTAAATATCTGCAAAAATCGTCTAAATTTATGAGAATATGGTGAAAATATAGAGACCCCTCTTCACAAAATTCCTCGTAGAAAAAGTAGTGTGTGTGTGTATATACTATATAGATACCACCATACGGATTAGGATACTCTTTGCGAGGATCCTAACCATCGTAACATTTTATCCGTTCATTGTATATTGTGCGACCAGTTTTCGTTAAGTACTGTTTGTGTTTAATTAAGTAAATGTCCAAAATAACATAATTTTAGATCTCAACACATACCACTGAGTAGTCCGAAAATCAACAATTTGATCTTACATATGAAGATCTAATGGATCCTTGCAATGCTTAAGTTTTTGCATAAAACTCATATTATTGAGTGAATCGTAGCATTGTAGCCAAGCTCATAAACACAATAGTAAAACTTGACTACAACGAAAGAGAATACAAAAATGATTGTAATCACAGAAGAAGCTGAAACTTATTTTGAAGCGCATAAGGGGAACAAATAATTTATATTTTCATGACATTAAAATTTTTAATTTAATCTGATAGTGAAGTACACATGTCAAAAGCTAAATGAAAAAAGCACAAAGAAGATAAATGAGAAATATACCTAGCATTCCTCACAACCTTTTATTTTTGTGCGTTTTACAACTTAAATTTTCTTAACACAAAACTCCTATTATGATACAAGAAAATTTGAAAAATGGTAGGCTAAAAGTCATTAATCTAGTGATATTCGTCTTTACTTGTAAGTGAGAGGTCTTAGGTTTTGATTCTTACCAAAGATAAATTTGAATCATATTATTGCTAGCTCATTGTGAGGCTATGTCCTCTCCTCTCCTCCTTAGTATTGATAATACCGTTTGTTAAAACAAACAAAAAAGTCATTAAGTACATAAAAATTCTCAAGTTTCAAAATTTTCCCTTAGTAAGAAAGTAAATTTTCGTATTTTGATAGTTGTCTACAAAGTTCAACCCACCCGAGTTTTAAATCCTGGATCCGTCCCTCATGGGGACGAAAAATTTAGGACATTGTTACATGAAGACCTAACAATATTTTACAGTTTATATTAATTCATTGCAGGTGAGCTTTGAGACCCAACAATAGATAACAGAAGTGCCAAAAGATTTAGAATAAAATTTGAGGCAGCATATACAAAACTCAGATTTCACAATCAGCAGCACACGGACACAGAAGACAGGAATGGTTTTTTAATTCATTGTCTCAAGGAACTCTAAGGTTTATTTTACAGAATATGTAAACAGCTTCCACACAATACAAGTCCATACACACAGTATTACTTGGTTTCTATTAATACGGGAACCGCCTGCACCCTAGCCTTTAAGTTCTCCCATGGTAACCGGTAAGCCTCCAACTTCCGGTGACTCTGCATAGGAAATGGAGATCAGTTCAGACCTAAACTTCTCTTCTCCATCAGCATCTATTGCCTCACCATTCGACTTTCCAGAAGAGAGATTTGAAGTCAGATTCTTCTCTGGTTCAGAGTAAGAAATGGAAATAAGCGACTCACGAGTCACTTCTTCAGGAGCCTCCTTGCCAAGTCCTTCTTTATCCATAAAATGTCTGATCTGCTTGGTCTGCATGTATCCAAACACAACGTATTAGTTGAAGATAAGTTGGAAATGGTGACAAGAAAATCGGATTATAAATACTAGTACAGCTATAATAACATACATTCACAAGAAGTTCATAATGCTACCACAATACTCTCACAAAGTTGTTCATTCGCAATAAAAAAGCATGCAGAAATCCACATTCACCAACCAAAAACAAGGAAACAAAAACAACCAAATTGTGGAAGGGGCACTGGCCATGCTGCTTCACAGAACCAAGTCGAAGTAACTCGGCAAAATGACCCCATAAGGGGTGCTCTCCTATCTTTTGATTAGGAAAGCAGCACATACCAGGGGGTAGCGACTGTTTATTAAAAACACAGGACTCTGCTAAGTGGTAACACGATGTTTAGAGTCTGACACCTGCCCGGTGCTGGAAGGTCGGATCTTGGCTTTGATAAATCATATTCTTAGCTGATATTAAGTGTTTTTCTACCACAACAGTATACGACAGCATGAGAGCATATTGCACAATAATAGAAATTCCCCCAATGATGTTCAAATCAGAAAGGAAGACCTGAGAAAATCCATAACTACGGAAGAACATGAAACTGAGGTGAAAACCAAAATAATGAAGATGATGGTGAAAAGATGCACACACAAGGTAATGACTAGATTTCGAATTGTCCCTCCAAGAAAAAAAAAAAAGGTAACAAACTAGATTTCATAGCCACAGAAAGTAAATATTACTCTCAAGTTAAACAAAAGAAGGGGCAGGGGTTCCAGATACGTCGAAACAAGAGGAAACATATAGGAAACATATAGGAAACTTATCCCTCCTCAAACACAAAGGAAACTGGGAGCTCTGCAGCAAATAAATTTTCGATTCCCAGAAGTATAGAACCATTATCATTAAACAGCAGCACATAATATAAAACCCCAACAAGCTATTGAAAATCAAGCACAAATTCCATATAAAATTGGATGCTATTAAGCTCTTAAGAAAGGAAATTAACATATAAGACTATAACCAGAAACCAATCTCTCCCACCACCACCAGAAACATGTGATTTGAGGGTTTTTAGGCTTCATAATGCAGAGTTACGTCCTGGCAACTACCAACTACTTTTTCATGTATTTCATCAAAAACCCTAATGGCGTGGGATCAAACAGCCGAATCCTGTAAAACTTGAATTTCTGAACCAATGCAAAATACGCACAAAGGGGCAAATCCCAGTAATCTAGATAAGTAGAAGCAGCATCATCTTCAAGCTACATACCCATCTTAATCTTTGAAAGTATACCTCCTTTCAATAATCCAATTAACTTGAAATTATCACTTCGAAAAAGAAAAACAACATCTATAACCATAAAGATTAAAAACTTTAACTTTAAAACATATGGAAAATCAAGCACCGGCCCATCAGAGCGAGGAGAAAAATATGAACAACCCAAGTCTTCTTTTCGAGGATGATAAAGGAAAACAGATTCAATCAGAGGCAGAACCATAAAAACCCAGAAACAAATTCAAACTTCCCAAATTCTGCAACTACATATAACCATAGAGATTGAGCGGAAGAGAGAGAAAGAGAGAGAACCCAAACAAAATTCCAGAGAGAGAGAGAGAGAGATAGAGGACTTACCGTGAAATCAAAGCCGCTTGAGGAAGAACAAGGGGAGTAGGTGAATAGGGATTTAGGAGGGTGTGTTGACCTATGTTTGTATTGTATTTACACCGAGTCCGTTATTTAACTTTTTTCTTATTTGAAAGAAGAAAAAGGAGACGTTGCAAGTGGCTTCGGATAGTTGGGGACACAAAGTTCGAGAGAGAGAGAGAGAGAGAGAGAGCAAGGCAAATAATGGCGCCTGTTTCTCTCCGTCTTCAATCTTGAATCTTTGATGATTTCCTTGCTTGTAGATTTATTACCCCAAATAACGTTTTTATAGCAGAAGTTTGGGAATTTGGTTTTGTGCGTTATCATGCACATGTGGTGTGACAAAGACATTGTTGTCTAAAAAACAAAATGGGGCTCTTTTTTTCCTCTTTCGTTACAACTGAAAATATGGCTTTTTCATTGTTATAACCGTAAATAAATTTTTCAAGGTGGACGAGAAGAACTTACTTGGCACAAAGGTGTACGATTATTCTGTCTGTAGTACCCTAAATATGTTACATATTTGTCTAGAACAACATGCGTTGTGTATTGACTATTGAGTTGTAGAAATAAAATTCTAATGTGACACTTTTAATAAATACCTTCCTTTATATTGTATTCATGGGATGAGAGGAATATATGGAAAGGGATCCTCTCCAGATCTCTTCCATCTAATCTTTCTCATCAAATAATCCGAGCTCTTGAAATTTGATCCAATAGCTAAAAACATGGGCTCATTTTAAAAGTTATAATAACTTCAATCGTTGGATTAAATTTCAAGATCTCGGATTATTTAATGAGGAAGATTAGATGGAAGGGACCCAGAGATGATCCATTTCCGGAATATATGGCCTCAAAATCATTATTTGCTTTTTTTCTTTCTCCTTTTTAAAATTTTATACTAACTTCACATTGTTTTAATACAATTATATATTTTGGGCAGAGTATTATAAGGCTTTTTATCTAAAATGGTCCATAAAATTGACATAAATTCTCGCTTTGGTCGCTGAGATTTGGAATCAATAGAAGCGGTTCCTGAGTTTGTCCACCATCAATCATTTTGGTCTGTTTGTACCATATTTAGGGCCTCCGTATTTAGACCTCGTGTAAATACTCGAGGGACTCAAATGTAATTATGCAATAAATGAAGGGGCAAATATGTAATAAGTGAGAAGCCCTTATTCTATAAAATGACTCCTCACTCTCCTCATTAAGGGAAGTCAAGGTTTAGGCCATGAGAAGAGAGAAAACATCTCTGAGAGGGCAAACACAGAAAATAGGTTAGAGAGCACACTGCCTCTAACCTTCTTGTATATTCACCATTCAGAGTAAAACAATATCGACGTAGCCCAAACATTGGGGTGAACCACGATACATTTTGTGTTCATTACTTTCTTGTAGATTCACGGTCGGATTTACGTTGTTCCAAGACCCTTCCGGTTTTGTGCATCAACATTTGGCGCCGTCTGTGGGAAACGACACGAAAAGCTATGTCGGTTCTCTCTTAATTTTTCACCTCCACCGTGAATCTGCAAAAACCAAGAACCAAATCGACAAACCCACCTCAGAAAACCAAGATATATCAACTAGGTGTGTTTTATTGTTCTCAAATTTTGAAGGAAAATCAAAATTATCAGCCATGGAAATGGAAGCAGAAGAACATGAAAAAGAAAGTCTTCGCCCTGAGTCAGAGAACCAAACTCCAGTAAAGGGTGTCCGAGATTTGCTATGGACGCCCATAAATTGGTTCAGAATGCTGAGCAGCGAGTTGCATTGGAGCTTTGTGGTGGGTGTGCTGATTGTGTACAACATTAGTCAGGGGCTAAGCATGGTGAATTGGAGCGAGGATCGGTTCAAAATAGCCTTCTTCGACGTGGAGACGACGGTGCCGACCCGACCTGGACAGGGCTTCACCATCTTGGAATTTGGATAGAACTACCTTTGACCCGGGGACTCTGTCGTCCTCCTCCACGTGCTACCCACCAGCGTCCTCTACGTATGGTCCCGACTAGGGCTCCGTCGACCCCAACGATGCCATCTCCTTCTCCTCCGAGTTACATCAGAGATTGGAGGACGACTTCGACATCTCCACCACCTCCAAGAAATGAAGCTCTCTGCCGCACAAGCAGCCACCTGCACCTCACAGACATTCAAAAACAAAAAGAAAGACAGTGACAGTCTCTCTCTCTAGTTCCTTTTTTCAACTAGCTTTTACTTTTTCTTCATCATCCAATAATCTGTAATGGCTCTTTTCTGCTCCCAATCTGTTGTTTCATGCTTAACTATTATATGCCTAGTTCTTGTTCAATCCTACTCTGCCATAATATATAGCATGAGGAACCACCACCACAACTTCCACCTTCACAGAATAAGCTCTCTGCGTAGCTACTCCCGCTCGAAACTCTCGGCAGGGACACATGCCGGTCAAAGCTCTGGTCAACACTTCGGTCTTTGAGCATAGCAGTCGTGGTGGACTCCGACGCCATCTGCGGTGGGCCAGCCTCAGCCACATGGTTATTGTGATCATCATCATGATGATGATGACGACGAGGCAGCAACAACTCGCGGCGCTTCTCTCCGTCTCCATCCCTAAGGACGACTCCATCTCTCTCTACTTCCGACCGACCCCAAACACTCTTCCTCATTCTCTCGATCTCTGATCGTGGAGCAAACAGGTGCGCTTTTGGAAATGGCACTGTTGAAATGGAAGCTTGCGTCATGGATGACAAAAAGAGATGTGGAGCTGTTTCTGAGCTCACCATTATTAACCGACCCCGCCAAAGATAACAGGCTATGTTGATGTCTACCATCTGCCAAAAGAGAAAAGAAAAAGTAAAACGCTCGAGTAGGTGCGCATCAACAACCTGCAACTGTCGACCACATGGAAAATGATAAGTGTTTTATCTTTTGGCTGATTTATTTAAAATTATCATTTGTTTATTTAATATCTTATTATTTTTGTCATGATGGCTAATTATAAAATAATAATTTTATTATTTTTATGTCATGATGACTTATGATTAAATAATATTATTTCTGATATCACATGATTACTACCACGTTATTGATTTATACAACATGTGAGTTATCAAACAATTGAATAAATCATTTATTCATGATTATATATATATACACACATATTTAGGCAATACCTAATATATTGTTGATTTATGCAACATTCATTTATCAAACAACTGAATAAATCACTTATTCATGATTATATATATATATATACACACACACACATTTAGGCAATACCTAATATATTGTTAATTTATGCAACATGTCATTTATCACACAACATAATAAACCATTTATTCACAGAAGGCACACAATACAATATTTTTGCCTTGACAAACTTTGTCAATTTGATTTATTCATTATACGGTCATACTTATACTGTGATTTATTGTCAGAAATTATTGAGCAACTAGATCCACTGATCAACATTGTTGCTGATTAAAGAAGTTTACCAACTTATAAACTGATGAGCCACGTGCTCATGGTGATCTCTTGTCTAACCGGACACCCTCTATTATCACCAACCAGGTGATCAAAAGTACGTTGATGTGAAAAATAAGTTAACACACAAAATTAAACCCTCTTTTTATCAATTGTAGCAAAGTATGTAAGTAGGGATCGTTCTAAACCGGGGATTAGGAGGGATTGCTAAACACTTGAAAACTGACTTAGAAATGTAAAAACAAAGTTTAAAACACTAGATTAGACTCAAAGAATGCAAAACTCACGTTTAAAATACTAAAATAAACCAATAACTCAAAACAGCAACTAAAAGACTCAAAACTACCTTAAAAACACTTTCTGGGCAGTTTTGAACACAAAGCACCAATTTGGACGAATTTGGGTTTTAACTTGTACCAAAACACTTAAAAACATAAACCAACACACTTTCTAACTAATCTAGGACTTCAAAATAAATGGGGAATTGATTTGGACGAAAATGAACTAAATAGACATATTGCAAGGAAAACAGATTGTAATAGAAACAGATTGTAACACAAAGTTATGAATAATCAATGGATGATGGAATGGCTAAGGGGTTCTTCTCCACACATGAAATATATGCAACCTAAATCAATTTTCAGTTATCAATTTAATAAGTTATGAATCTCGACACTCCAAGTTAATTAGGTCCGCTTAAATTAACCTTCAGATTTCCCTAGAATCATTGAATTGGATGAATATGCATCGCAAACAAATTATTCCCAACAAGTTCTTTATATGAACAACATGATAAAGACACAAGTTAGAATCATTACATTCTTTGGAAGTCATAAGCATCGACAAGGCATTCGTAACTATGAAAAGCATGAAACTCTTGTCAAGAATCTACTTAACACGATCGTGACTAGTGACCTTCACTACTTACGAATATAAATTCATAACGATTAGGTGAAACAAACTTATATCCTAGCATCAAATTCAAGCATGCAAATTAAGCGTGCACTCTCAACCAACATACAAGAATAAGTTCTAAATCAAACGGTTAAGCAAATTGTATTCACGACTTATACAACGATAACTGAAGGTAAGCAACTTATTTCACATATATAATCATGGTTTTGAATCCACCCTTAGCCAAAACGAAATTAGCCAATCATACTTAAAGCAAAACAAAGATTACATGAATTAGACATTAAAATCCAAAGAAAGAAAACACCTAGAATGCTCCAACTTGGTAGCAAGTGCATCCAAGATTCCTCATTTCCCTTGCTTGTGGCAGATTGGTTTGTGGACAAGTTTTGGGTAGTTCTATGGTGCAGAAAGGTTTATGGTGAGTGTAGAGGAGTGTTTGATGGTGGAAGGGTGGTGGAGAACTTCGGCAAAGAGGGTGGAAGAAGGTGGAGTGGCTGTGATATTTTCTGGGCACTAGAATGGTGTTTTTGGGTGTTTTGCTGCCTAGGGTGAGTATGGACGAATTTCTGTGATGAATGGTGAATATGAGAGTGTGAACCCTTTGCCAAGGGGTGTAAACATGTATATATAGGCCCCAAAAACCCTAGAGAATCAGATTGGGCAGTGGGGAAAATGCACAGCAAGGAGGGTGAATTTGTGGTGTGCAATGGTCCAAGGATGAAAATGGAGCAATGATGCAAAGTATGGAGGGTAAAATGGAGTGGTATTTTTAGCTAGGGAGCATGAATGATTGTGTTCATTGCATGGAAATGAAAAGGGGAGGTGAAATGTTTCAGAAATTAGTCAAAGGTGCAGCAACATGTGTTGCACACAGCATTGGATCCCAAATGTGGAT